ATGATATGGTTGTTGATGAAAATGATGAACAATAGGCTAATGGTAACAAAGTCATGTGCTTTGTCTACTTAACGATTTATGGAATGATGCTTGTTGCACTCACTCCAAACTACCACATTGCTCTAGTGTCATGAACAATATTTGTTATTGTTGCAACGAAGATTCAATTGACTTGTAATACAAACTTATGGTTAGTTTTGATAGTTTTTAAAACTTATGGGTATAAATCACATTTTTCTAAAAAAGTGAAATATATTTCCCAAATACTATGGCCAAACACATGGTGAAATTTCACCCAAATTTTCATCCAAATAATATTTGCCAAGAATATTTAGAAATCTATGGCCAAACGCTAGCTATATATATATGCAGAATCCCAAACTCTTTAAACAGTGAAGCTTCCACTACTGCTATCAAATTTAGCCACCTTTTCTATGATTCCTTCTCCCATTCTTCATACCATTAAATTACATGTTCGTATATTGGCAAGCGAAATATATAAACTGAAGTTTTGAAAAATTACTAAATGTATAGATATAGAATTTGTATAAATTTACCCTATTTATATATTCGCAAGCGAAATATACAAATCGTAACCTCCATAGCAAACAAAACTATAGTTATGGAGCGCAATTATCGAAACTATAGCTATAGAGCCTTCTCATGTCTATTATGTTTGTTATTTCTAAAACTTTCTCTTAAAATTAAAGTGTTAATTAATACTAGTATAACTAATTAGAGTTGTGGTAGAGTGATATTTCTACATCCTTAATCAGAGGTATCGGATTTGAATCTCTTGTTTACATAGTCGCCTTTGTTAAGGAACATGTTACCCCCAATAGTATTTTCCGACACGAATTCAATTTAGTCGGACTCTAATATAGATACCAAACTGAATGGGAAACCAAAATAAATAAATAATAGTACTAGCATTATTTTATTTTATTTTTAACAAAAAGAAGACCAAGATATGATAGGAGGGTGCAAAGTTATCTACTTAACATATCATAGTTTAATTTATTACTCTCATTTCATATAATAAAGTCAATTCTAAAATCAAGAAATGTTTTACGTTACTACTTTATGAAATAAAGTTTAGGTGTTTTACACTATTGGTCTAAAATACCAAGGTTTCGCTACATTATAGGATATGATTGAGTAATTCCAAAAAATTTAACGTTTATCTATATGTTATTAACTGAACTCTCGAATATGTTCAAAGAATCAATATAGAAAATAAAATAAAAAGATAGATAATCAAAAAAGCTATTCAACACCAGTAAACTAATCCAATTGAGGCATTTTTAATTTATTAAGACAAAAGGATTCCCTTTTAACCAACCAATAGTACTAAAAATAATATTAGACAAATCTAATAAACGCTGGAAGGCTAATTAGTTGAAGATTAATTATGAGGCTTGTCTAAATCCAAGCTAGTTGGCCAGCTAAAATTTCCATCTTAACACAAGTATTTATTGTACTAAAAATGTACGAAAATGCATATCCCACTAATTAATGAATATGTATTGTGGCCTCCCATTTTGTTAAACAAGAAAGTTGTACTCAGCAACGACGATTATGGTGGAGTGGTAAGTAATTCTTCATCCTTAATCAGGTTAAGGGGTTTTGGGTTCGAGTTGGGTATGAAGTCACCTTTGTTAAGAAACGTATTACCCCTAATGTGGTGCTTCCTTATGTGAATTTGAATTTAATCAGATTCCAATGTGGATATCGGACACGGGTGTAGAAAAAAAAAACAAAGAAGGGCTGTCAATTTGTCTAATCAATCATTTGGATAAAATCCAATATAATCTTTAATTAGTTGGTACATGTACTTACTCATCAAATAAGGAACATGCTTACTTATTGGTATGGTACCCTTTTAATAAATGTCGCTTACTTAAAATTTGATGAACTATGAATTCAAATAATGATTTGTAAGAATTGATGGCGGAATCATGATTTTTACGAAAACAATATAAGATATAATAAATTTATTGATTTAAAGCACTAAATTTTCGATGGGGGTGTCACTTGACTTTCCTTTGTCAAAGATGAATCCGCCACTAAGAGCATACCAATCAATACATCTCATGTACAAAAATTATTTTAGACAATCGTATTTTCTGTGTATATAATATAATTATGATAAATTAACCTTTTACAATAAACATCGATCAATAAGATGAGCATCATAAGTTGAACTTCAAAAATTTTACACTATTGCATTTGTGTATGTAATTTCAAGAGAATTTTAAATTATAAGCGAGACAGTCAACGAATGTAATGGAACGAACCGTGACAATCAGGATTTGTGTGAAAGGAAGACAAAATCCCTAGTTTTATGGGATTATTTGGAGGTGTATATATTTCATAAAGAAACTATTGCTATGTTTTAAAATAAAATAACACCATTAATTATAGTAATTAGGATCCTATTTTATAATATTTAGGAAATTATTCCCAAAAGAAGTTGCAATATGTTGAGAAAGGATAGGGTCCATTTATGAACCTTGGTCAAGTCTTTTTCCCCAAACAATAAGTGCAAGAATGTGGACAATACAACAATTGTTACTATTATTAAAGCTTCCTAAATATACATTAAATTACATTCAATAAGAACAAATGTTCTTCTCATAATTTCGAGACAAGCACTAAGCTAATCACACAACAAAGTTTCTTATTTTAATTACCATTAATCGTGTCTTATATACCGACCATAATCAATAAACTAAGACAAAATATCTGTATTCTGTTAATTTTTTTTATCTTTTCTGGAAGATCATTTAAGATAGTAGGTGTAAATAAGGTCATGAAAAAATAATATCGGACGAATTTAACTTTTGTATATGTATCCAAGTTATTCAACTTCGCCAAATTTATCAGAAAAATTCTAGCTTCAATTTATGCCAAGCACGTTCTAAAACAATGGTCCATCTACCATTTTTATAATATGAAAAAACTATATTGTACAAGTCGCTATATTATACCTTGAAACTTGAGTAAAGTACATTTAGCCTTAGTATACATTATACAATATGCTTCAACAAATTTTGTTATAGGATGATAAAAATCAGTAGTTTGTTAAACAATTTACTCGTTTTATATTTACACCAAATTATAATACATATATTTTTCGATACAAAATAATAAATATTGTTATATATATTTAACTATCGAAAATAATTATTTTAATCAACTGATTAGTATGTTTCGATATCTCGATGAGATCTGCACATCGGACTGGTTAAATAATAATTAATAAAACAAGAAATGGCAAATATAATATGGTACGAATATAATATAGTTATCATAAAAAGGATAAGGTCACCACGAATATGCTAACAAGTCAGCAAAATGGAAATTCTTTGTAAATTGCTACGACTCTATAAGTTTCGCGTCTTATTTTTTTTGGTTGCGTGTTTAGTATTTATTTAGGTGCAGTGGCAGAGCAAAGTACATTTGGCCTTAGTATTCAATATGCTTCAATATTTTTTGTTAGTATATGATACTAAACATGAGTAATTTATTAAACAATACACTCGCTTGGTATTTACGTTAAATTATATAAATTTATCATAGCTAAGGAAAACTAGTATGAGAAAATTACTTGAATTGACTTTGGTTGAGTGATAAAAGTATATGTTACAGTACAAATATCATGCATTCATTGGTTTGATGTGATTATTGTTTTTTTCATATAAAAAAATCCCTTATAAATAAGCAAGTTGTTAACTATAACTAGATTCAATTCATAATCAAAGGCACTATATTGGAGATGGAATCGTAATGACCATACGATTATGGGGTTTTATTCTTCTACTCTTTTCCGAAAGTAGATGATTACTCATAGCTATTATCTTAATATCAAAGAAGAGTAGATGGACTTTCAAATTTTAAAAAATGAGATGATCATGAGCTTAATATTATTTAAATCATGTTAATAAGAGGAACCAAAAAAATGAAAAGATAATATGCAATAACAATTATATATCTTTTATTTGTTTTTCATTCAAGTTATTTTCATAGAGGAAGGCAAATGAGAATATCATTGTCTTCCTTTATTTTCCAATTTAATTCTTATATAAGCCTTTATTTCTTAATCAATCACGATGTCTGTCCATTTCGTTGCATTTATGCTTTTTACTCTCTTTCAATTAATAACTATTCACAACCTTCCAACTTGAGATGTTGATCATTCATCTAACTTCTCAATCTCCCTTTGCCCCACCAAGTGACGAAGCTAGGAGCGCAAGGGGTTCATCTGATGCCCTCGTAGGAAATTTACACTATATATTGTCAAAAAATATTTCATTTTTGTATATATAATTGAACGTTGAATCTCCTGCATTTACTTCTTTATATTTTGAATCCCTCTTATTGAAAATCATGACTCCGCGACTACTTATTGGAAGGAACATAAATAGACATAATATCCTCATATGTCCATATATATATGTACAGATTTGTAAGCAAGTCGTGATGGAGATGGACATTCTTGTCTTACAAAAGAAATCGACAATTAGTCACTTATCTAATTGATGTATTTATGCAATAACATTTGATCCCTCATTTATGTTATGCTCAAAATGACTTTTGTCTTAACATTACATTGGTAACCACTAGTGTTCGTGTTTGATACTAAGGTAATTAAATTACAGCATGTTGGCCAAGTATCTAAAAAGTCAAAGGTGATTAATTTATTTATTTTTACCTTTTTAGTGTTTATTTTAGAGAGTTGAGCGTTTGGTCAAGTTTTTAGGGGTACAAACTCTCACTCTCCAAAAAAAAAAAAAAACTTTGTCGAACTTGTCATTGTAAGTTGGTGGAGTTATTTTTCTGCATAATAATGTTAACGAACGAGACCTCAACCTACTAGCTAGCTAACTTAATAGGAATCAAATGAATAAACTAGTCAATAAGTTAAATCAATCACACATAATGTACTATGCCACATTGTTCCAATATGTACTCCAGATTTCCCGTCAGACACAATAAGATGAGAAATACTGGTCAATGATCAGAGGCATATATAAAGCGGGTTCTGTGAGTTTAACTGAACCATTACTTTCAACTCGAACAATGTACACACATGACAAAAAAAAGCTCGAAATATATATACATATAATGAGATCACACTTATATTGTACCTACAAACACGATAAATTTGTCGATGACTCGATGATGATCTTAGCAAACAAGATAAAGTGCACAAACTTGGCAGTAGTACTGGCTCTGTCAATCAGAAATCAAAAGACTCTCATTCCCACCTAAAGCAACACGTTACTCTAAAGAAACTGCAGATTATATTGAAGTTTTCATCTGACTGGTGTTTGCTGTAAAAGGCAAAAAGTCAGAAGAGTACTTACTGAGTGTTTGGCTAATTTTGTGTAAGCTCTTGCATCAGAATTCATCCCAACGTGTGACTTAAATTCACCACCAGTGTCACTAGCAACATTAACTACATCTCCCAAAAAAAAAAAAAAAATTAAGAATCAGAATTTTGTACTCACAATATTTGGGTAAATATGTGGACCTGGTATTGCGATTCCAGAATTGGCGTCATGCTCAAAGTTTGATCACCACTTGGCACATGTGTATGTATCTGTCCATTGCATCCAAGAGTGATGTGATGACTTCCCTATCAATGAAAACAAAGAATTCAGAGAGACAAAACAAAGAGAAATATTACAAATGGTGCCAAGAATATTACATCAACTTGTAAACTCGCAATCGAGTCAGGATGTACTATTCTTTTTTACTTGATCAGGTAGTGCTAGTACCATAAGGTAAAACCCGTATGTAGTTTTTTAAATTTTATAGCCTAGTCAAAATAGCTCACAAGGAAAGAATAATATCAAATATTAAAAGCGACATGGAGAAGTGAAATCTCTCAATCAAAGTTATTGTATGGTTTTTACTCAAGTTTTAATGAGTAAATAATCAAACAGATACAGCTTAACTCCTAACTCAAAACACAACGAAATGAGATCAAACAATATAGGACAACAAGAAAATCCAACCTCTTTTGGCTTTCTTCTCTTTTTTTATTTTTATTTTATAATTTCCAGTATATTCCAACATCAAATCCAAAGAAACCCGACAATGTTCAGAGCAGCACATTTGAGAGAGTTGTAAAAGAGTTCAAGCGTTTATTAGGGGAAATTAGAAATAACAATAGGAAAGTATATCAAATACTATAGCAAAAGGTCCGCATGCATCCTACTCTCCCCAAACCCCACTTGTGGAATTACACTACGTATGTCATTGTTGTTGAATCAAATACTATAGCAGTGCATTTAATTGCACTCTAAGGACCACAGTTGTAGTTCAATTGTACTGCTTCACATGCAGTCACATGGCATGGAAAATGTTATGTCTATAATGTACAGCCTTCTGGGTTCATAAAATGTAAATATGCTGCCAACCAAAGGAAATTTTAAAACACCGATCACCACGTAGGAACAGAAAATTGGTAATTCTGGGCAACTCTAAATGAGTTAGAACCACAATAAAACCTCAACTTTGCAACCGAAACATATTTGTCAGTGCTCCAAGCATTCTGTTTCTCCTTCCCCTAACGTTGATATTTAATGTAAAGCAATTGGAAATCTATTCATAAAAAACTAAGGGTACTCTTAATAAGCAAACGTAGTGTAAAAATGCATAAACAGGATAATTGTATGAAGAACAGTTCAAACAGGGAAAGTTGACAGGCATAGACAAAAACATTGTCCGCTCTAATTGTGACCAAACATTCTGCTAAGTCGCGGTCTTCACAACAGAGGAAAAATAAATTCCCGCAGCATAGAAATGTAACTTCCTTTAATCTCTGCACATAACTGTGGTCTGTTGTTTCTGAAAAGGATATCTCAGATCTTCTATGCCTTAGAGAACATGACCATTAAGAACATCTGAAGAATATTTCTAACTACACTATTGAATAATACTTTGAACGGGAATAAAGAGGTGCAAAGAGAAGAGGTGAATATTAAAGAGTGCAGTTGTCCTAGGATCCACGAGACAAGCAAAGGACAGGCCAGATAACCATGATAGTACCATCCCTCTCTAAATTAATGGAAAGAACTGATGTATACCTCAGAAGAGAAAAATAGTTAAGAGGACGGCTTTGATGATTTAGTCATATAAGATTATACAGGCATCTGCAATTGAAAAGATGGAGTGATAGGCAAGACACTTACCCTTTAAGAGGAGACAAAGGCATATAAACTTAATTTTTTGAAAAATAAAACAAAAAAGGTAATGGATGCTCAGCAAGAACAAATTTCAACTCTAACTGGGAAGCTAACAAATCATATTACGGTTTCTATCTCTCAGCCTCGCTGATATATCACAAAACCCAAAGCAGAAACACAGTAAGATATAGTATTTGATATTTGACACCATTCATTTTTTCTGTGGAAAACGAGGTAGTTAACAGAAAGGGACATATAGGAACAGAAGCTGCTCCTTGGGCTAGCTTGTTGAACGACAACAGCCGTTACTTTCCGGATTTCTTGTATGCAGCAATTATCTGGCTCATCTGCTCACAGTTGCAGGTCGAGACTAAAAGTAAAATCGCTATCTATGTTGGTTGCAAAAAATGAAGAGATCAGAGAATTGTATAGCTCAGTGACAATACACCAATGTGAAATGCCGTCCCAAGCAGAACTTGTATTCTCAAGAGCGAGCAAAATAGAAGTTAAAGATTCGCATTAAGTGCAACTTAATCCTTAGGGAGGCTTAGTCTATTATTAGAAAAAATTCTCATCCGAAGCATATGCCAGAAAAGAGCACTATCAGAGAAGTAGAAAACCATTAATACCACTAGAAATACTGCTTTAGATGGAAGAACTGCATGTTTCTTGCATAATATGACTTGAATGACATTAATACTTGGAACAACGGAAAAAATTATTTGAAAGGCATTACCAAAAGTTTAACACTCTCTTTCCCTGAAACAGATTATGATCTACTGTAGAGATTACATATCAGTAAAAAAAGTATAGATCAGAGAAGAACAAAACGCTTGAGGAGATGTTCATTCTAGAACATGTCAATAACATATAACATAGGTGATACAACTGAGCTCATTAGATTTCAACAAGAAGAGTGAATAGAGAGCACGTCCAGTACATATAAATCCACTGCTTTATCATCTGGAAGTGTTGAAGTAATGCTTAGTCAAAAGTCAATCAGTACCCACAGGAAAAAAAACTTGGATAGTACCTAATTTTACAAAAGGTGAATGCAGAACATCAGCCTATTCAAAGAGAAGAAAAATGCAAAACAGGAAACAAAGTTGAAAAAAAAGACAATTATGAGAATTGAGACACTTACTAAGAATACAGAAAGGATAATGCTCACCAGCTGGTTGGCAGCAAACCTCATCAACATGTTTGATGTCACCAAATCCCATGGACAATGCCACCATTATGTAGTTTTCCAATAGCATCACCAATCAGTTCATCTGTGATGGTTTCTTCAATAATCTCAAGTAAACCAAACCAAGGAATATATTTTCATGAGGGACCTTCAACATACTCAAAGGTGAGATGTGTAGCAGCGTCAATAGCATATTGCTTTGAGTATGCACCTGGCCTCCTACTCCGTTATTCAAAATTGTTAGCAGCACAACTTTGAGGTATGAAGAGACTAAAGAATACAACTGGTATCATTTACACCAACCCATTTAAGTCTTCACGAGTAAGCTTTGATTCCACAGTTAGATGCCTGTATTTCTTTGTAAACAATGGACCTCCTACCACAAAGTTGACATGAAAACTCTCAACATTAGATAAATCCCAATGTGAAATAGCATCAGTGGAGAGACTAGCATATTATGGTTTGTGATCTTTACAGTGTAAATACATGAAGGAAAAGAAACTTGCCGCACAGAGATAGGAGAGAGATATTATAAACACATTTGCAGGAAAGTTCTTTATCAAAAGAAAAAAAAATTGCAGGGAAGTTAAATGGCACATGAACCTTGGATAACTTACAGCCTCATCTCCGTGCTTGACTAAAACCAAGGATCCATCATTTCTGTCTGCCTTAATTTCCATCATATGAGATCTCCAGATAACTACTGCAACAAATATATACCTGGCAAGGTATCACTCATGGGTAACCAAATTAGTTTTGATAAAGTAATGTTTCTTCCATAAAGAAGCAGTACACCAAAAAAAATAAAAAACTTACATAAAAATATGATTCTTTGTAAGAGAAACCCCATCTTCTATACAAGCAAGGACCTTATGGGTGCACGAAAAAGTAACTACAGACAAGAGGCTACTCCTCAAACGTACAAAATCATTGTCAACTCTTTCAAATTGTTCTCTTCTTTCTCTATTTTATATACTCACAGGAAGGCCAAAAGGGGAAACATCCCATGCCTGTGTCGTTTCCTTCTTCTAAAGTTCCAACTGTATATAATCTCCTCCTCTTCCCCTAGCGGCTAGCATCATCGACCACAGTAATTTAAACCAACAGTACCGAAGGAGGTGACTTGTATATTCTCTCAAACATTTGCACATAAAGCACCAACCTACATAAGTGAACAAGTGATCCTCCTCTCCCTCAGTTCTCAACTCTCACTATCGCTTCCTTACTGCCAACCAAAAAAATAAGCACACATTCGAAGGAACACCTGGGGACCCAAACCTATAAGTTCAAGAAACCCGACTCTTCCCTTACTATTAGTTTCTAGCAGTACGATTTAACTGAGAACAAACTAACTCTTCTCGTACTCCAACTTCACGAGTTCGGTAGTATGCAATAAGTTCTTGTAAAGTAGTTCCACCAAGTTTGGAAATCATACATCTCCTGTACATGTAGACTCCTCTTAAACCTCAAGTCACAATGACCTCACCATCTTGTATAATCAGGATCTATCGTACTGTCATCTCTACTAGCTCAAAACACTACATATGCTATAGCATGCAAGTCACTGTGCATTCTCCTAGCACCACTTGTGAACCTAAAATCAAGCATTCGTCCTACTCTGAATAAATGTAGTCATTGAAATCTTCTCATGCCTTCATGATCATCCTCCATAATTCGTACTCCGATGAAAGTGTGATATTTCCAATAATTCATCTTTCATTCACACTTTCACAGTGCCACACTTTTCCACTATCAGCTTTCTCCAAAAAGTCTGTTCCTTCTCCAAATCTCCATAATAGTTTCCCAAGCATGACTATGTCGAACAGTCTAAAGTCTTCCACCAAAATCCTTCAGTAAAACCTCATTCTTCTCTGCTTCTTAGAGTTTAAATCTGAGTTGTAATAAAAAACACACAATGTAGTTACCTCCTCTATAGCTATCTTCCTCACATCACATAATAATAGGATGTCTTGCATTCCAAATTGTAGGAATCGAATCATACTTAATCCACCTTTTCACTCACACGCTTCTTAACAATTGTGTTAGTTATAAAACTCATTTAGTTTTCTAAAAACACTATATCCACCTCGTATTCTCTATCTCCCACTTGATGATGACCTTTTAATTGGTCAATTCACTATCTCACATCCTAAGAAAAGATCTTAACATCTATAAACGATATATGATATATCTATCCCTTATCTCTCACCTTCTTCAACACTTCTCTTTCCCTCATGCCGAACCTTCTACCATACACCACAATATTACCTCTTGCTCCAATCTCTTTCTTTTTTTTTTGGAAACGGGTAACTTGTATTCCTCAGCATTAAGGGCTATGCTGGCCACCTCCAAAAAGGAGAGAAAAAAAGATGAAAAACCTAAGGATGTAATTACCTAATTGGATTTCCTCTTCTATATTTTGTCTTTTGCACCAAAAACCTAAGGATGTAATTACTTTCCATTTAATCTTTTGTATTGAGCATTCTTTTCCTTGAAAAATCCTCTGATTCCTTTCCTTCCAAATATTCCACCAGATACAAGCAGGTACTGTCCTCCACCCACTTCTTTTGACTCTTGCTGCCCCCCCTTCTGATCCAACAACTCAATAAATCTGCTGTGTTCTTTCCCCCCCCCCCCCCCCTCTTTTGATCCAACAACTCAATAAATCTGCCGTATACACCAATTTAGGCTTAGGCTAGCTAAATTGAAGAATAAAGCCCATACTTGTATTGTTACATTGCCATGCAAAAATAAGTGTTTGTTGGTTCCAGTGCCTCTTTGCATAGTAAGCATCTAGAGGCTATGTTGATGCCCCAGCTCCAGTCTCTTTTCTCACCCCACCCATCTCGTTCGTTCATCACAACTAACCCTTTTAAACTTGTTCTATGTCAGCTAACAGTTCGATGACTCTATCTTCCTTTCCATCTCTCCCAAACTTTAAGTATTTTTATTTATTTATTTTTTCAATCTCCTCCATCCTTTGGTGATTGCCACACACACACACAACAATTTTTGGTGCCAAGGTTTAAACAATCTTTTACCTAGTTTTTTTGTTTCTTATTCATATATATAGTTTCTTGCTTTTGTTATCTATTTGTTGTTTATCATGTTTAGGTGATTGCACTATTTGGTTGATGTTATTGTTCCTTGTATGTATGTTCTACACTACTTTTCAATTAGTTGTCATGTTTTCTTCACCATCGTTTTTCCTTTTCATTACTTCTTTGTTTTGTTGCACTTGAGCCGAGGGTCTTTTGGAAAGAGCCTCTCTACCTCTACGAGATAGGGGTAACGTTCACGTACACTCTATCCTTCCCAGATCCCACTTTGTTCCCACACTGGGTATGTTGTTGTTTAGTTTGGTGCACCACCTTGGTCCCCTTCGTGAACATTTCATCTAGTTCCTAAGCCTTTTGGGACGATACCAGAAGTACCGGAGGGATGTAAATCCTTTATTGATATTGGAAATATGACTAGTGTAATTGGCTCTTCCTTTCTAGCCTTATCTAAGAATTTTGACCACCCACCCACCCTATCTCCTTTAGATGGGAAATTGCCAAAGTTGTTTTTCCTGCCATCTGCTTCATTGGTTATATGATGGAAGAAAGCAAGAGCCCTTTACCCTCCCACTCCAATTCTGAGTCTAGACTTAAGTTCAAGCCTATTGGTTTTTTAAATCATCGCCTTCTAACCCATTTTTGGTTTTGAAAATGGAGTTTCCGACATCTTGATCACCTACTCAATGACATTGGTTCGATCCGATAGTTATTTACTGGAACATATAATTTAGTAAACTGATTCCAATTTGTTCTCCTACCAAGTTCACTTAAGAGCATCCACCACCTTATTTGTTTGCTTCTTTCCATCATGTTGAATTGCCGGCTGAGCAACCCCTCCTCCTTAGTTATTTCAGACGGCATCACTATTTTTCTGCCTGATCTTTTTTGTTAAGTGTCGCACATATGTTGAAGGACAAGTGGTGTACTTATGAGGTCTTAGATAATTCTTGCCTCATGACCAAGCTTCTGGGATTGAATTAGGACCAAACATAGGATCCCTTATGTTATATTGTCAACACTCCTGATGTTCTTCATATCAGTGTGTATGGGTGTGTTAAGTATCTCACATAAGTAATGTTTTCTCTTTATAAGGTATTCAACAATCTTCACCTTAAGCTATTTTTGGAGCTGAATTAGGTGCAAGAACCATTTTCTGAAACATTTTCCACTTCATAATAGGCTTTTCCTATCCCTCTTTTGCCCTTTCTCTTCCCTCCTCCTCATTTCCCCAATCAAGTCCTTTCCCAAGTTTCAGGGATAATTTTTTATGTTAATCTCACCCGGAAACTCATGTCACCCCTCTCTGGTGCTATAGACACTGGCACCCTTTTTCTCTTCTTTCACAGACAACCTAACTCTAGCTAAACCTGGTAAGTTTAAAATCCAATTTAACAAAAAAGTTTCAAGGATAAATTTCAGCGTGTTCCCCGAAACTCATGTCGCCCCTCTCCACTGTTATAAACACTGGCACCCTTTTCCTCTTCTTTTAGGGACAGCCTAACTCTAGCAAAACTCGGTTAGTTACAATCCACATCAATGAAAATTCACACACTTCCCCTCCTTTTTGAGCAATTCATTAAATCATAGATGAGTCATTAAACCACTGCCCCCTCGCTACTTCATTTTTTTTTACAACATGTTCTCTCAGACCACCTTCCAACCCTTACCTAGTACACGCAATGCTTTAACATCCCTTCACATTGAAGGGGGCAACTTACTGGATGATCTCACACTCATACAAACCTCCCAATCAAACATGTCTTAACTCTTAAGGAACTCCTTCCTCCTCAAAATGTGGTCCCCAGATAACCTGAATCTGGGTTCTGCACAGTCTCCACTTTCCACATTTCCTAATCATGATCAAAGCTGACCAGGCCAAAATTTCCTTGAACGGGTGATTGTTAATGTTCTTTGGTTCTAGAAAGGAGTCTCCCTCTAAAACTCATACAATAAGCAGGTCACTTAAGGAACTGTTTTATCTTCACTAAACCAAAGTGGTTATTAAGAAAATTATTGAGAAAGGAAACGAACCAGTCTTGTCAAAGATGAAAATCTCTCCAGGTCTATTGGGGCTTTAAGTGTAAAACGAAATTGAAGAGTGGGTTTTAGTTTAAAAAGGCGCAACGAAGAAAAATAAAGAAGTATATGCAGTGCAAGAAAAAAGTAACAACTTTATTCATAATCATTTCCTTAATAATTAATACTATATCTTTCTTATCATCATCATTATAGTTTAGTACCGCTCTTATAAGATAGAACTTGTGGGCAATGAGACACACCTAGGCGCCTTGCATACACTGAAACGCAGCCAAACTGAAGCGAAGCACCTAGCCTGAGCTTCAAGACTTAAGTGTGTCACAAATGAGCCTTTGACAACACTGAAATGAACACGACTAGAAATGTTTCATCCGACAATCACCTCCTGCAACATCAATACATAAGAGATGAGTGAGAGTTCAATAAAATATTAGGCATTGTACCCACATTTCAACAAAGAAAATCCACTAATCACTGAAAATACTGAACTTTGTTTAAATGTGTTTTCGGCATAGCTTAATAACTGCAGAAGAAACAAGTATTCTTAAGCCCATTCGTTCTCTTAGAAGAATGCATGAAAGGTCTTTGGCAATTTTTCTATTCTCATTCTCTTTTTGTTTCCTCAATGATGGAGGATTCCCCGAGGGACCATGGAGCTGAGTTTCAAACTCATGGATAATGGATTCGCCCTGCTACCCTTATCCACTTAAATACCAAGCTTTTGTCTACAGTAGGGTCCAAACTCGTGACGCACACCTAACTCACACTTCTTATACTAATTATTCATTTTAGAGAACCTCTTGTTTCAATTAAAAGACAAGTTATAGTTTAAAATGAGATGGGCTTGATTAATGTGAATCTAATTCATATAACAAGGACTCCAACTAGTTATAATTGAGGATAGTCACTGTTTATCACTAGAACCTCCTAACCAAGAGAACTGAAATATCACCATCCTTAAACAATAAATAAGTATTGTTTATTGTATAAAGGCCAACTTTTTGAGGTTGGGCTGAGTCAATCAAAATCACCAATTTTCACTGTATTGATAGATGCATGATTTTGGGTCAGTAATCATGAAAGAGGGGAAGTCCAACCAACTAAAATGTAAAGCAAGACTGATTACAAATGTCAAAACCCTATAAAGATCAAGAATGAAAAGAAGAACAAAAAAATAACAGAAACCCAGAAACGTTAATGCAATTTGTGAGTTGTAAGGGAATCAAAAATACCTTACGGGCACCACAACAAACCGTTACAGCAGCAATTAGTGAAGAAAAAGAGCCACAAATTCAACTTTTACTTGTTTCAGAACAAGAAGAAAAAAATATATGGATCCAAGAAACTCGCATCAACTAAATTAATCTGCATTTGTCATGAAAGTTTACGCCAACATATGTATAACACACACTTAAAAAAGTTACTACTTGTCTCATTTTACGTGAGGTAGATTGATTCGATACGTAATTTAAGAAAGAAAGAAAGAAAGACTTTTAAAACTTGTGGTCCAAAATAAATGATAGAAATTTGAATGGTTGTAAATCATTTTATTAAGAATAAAACAGACAAAATATAGAAATGTGTCATTCCTTTTGGATTGACTAAAAAGAAAAGTAAGTTACATAAATTGGGACAAAAAGAGTACATTTTTATAATGTAAGTTATATCATGCCTATTCAAAAAGAATTGGAGGACTCATTCAACTCTTAAAAAAAATTATGGTAGAGAAATATGTAAAAATTATGTGTCAATTTAATTCTTTTTTTTTTTGGTTTATAAGAAAGGGAGAAAATTTTAAGAATAGCAAAAATAATAATCATATTAGTATTTTACGGCTATAGTTTTGTTAATTGTGATCTATAGCTATAGTTTTGTTTGTTATGGAGTCTCTAATTTGTATAATTTGTGAAATACGTTAAATTTGTATACAATCTTTTTTTTAAAACAAATTAACTAAAAATGAGCTAATTTCTCCTAACCCACACATATTAAGGATTTGTTTCCTACAATGACTTCTTCAACAACATGAACTTCATTGCAATTTGGTTTATCAAATCGAATAAGCTTGAGCAATACAAACATTAGAGATCAATTTAATTTTCAAGTAAACAACAACAGCTAAATGTATTTAATACTGGAAATTGCTTTGATTTGTTTTTTTTCTGAACGAAATCAATGTTTTTATCTGGTGTTTTCAAATTCATATTTGGTTTTGAACATCCAGAATTGATTTGATTGTATATTACGATAATATTTTGTAATTACAGTTCAAATTGTATATTTTTCCGTAATAGATTCAAACTCATATGAGCGAAAAAGTTGTTAGAATTCAAGTCAGTTCGTCATTTTGAATACTGTAAATAGGTGTAATTACAAATTTTTGGGAGGAAATTATTGTTTATTTGGAGTTTTTTTATTACAGATTTGGTTTTTGACATTCATAAATTGTTTGGATTATAAATTATGATAGTAATCTATTATTTCGTTTTGATTTGCATATTTTTTCTTTTCAATTTGTATATATGAACGAACAATGAAATTGTATTATGATTGTTAAATCATTTATACGTCCACATGAAATGATATGCATTAATCAGTTATGTATAAATTTATTTGAACACTTGAATAATTCCTATATGAAATGTTTTAGTTTTTTTATAAATTTGTATATATATATAGAGAGAGAAACTGTTATTGAATGGAGGCAACAATCAGTAAAATGCAAGATAAATTCATTTTTCAAGTGTACTCTATAGGCTTTTAAATCAAACATTAAAGGATTCAAAAATTACAAATCGATCATCTCACCAATCCTCATATCTAAAATAAAACTATTACTAAAAAAAAAACTAATGCAAACAATAATAATTTGTAGATACTACTTAATTAAATTTAAACCAGCCAAATCAAGCCTAGATTGATTCAACTAGGAATCATCTAGTCCAACAAAGAATTAAGAGATATTCAAAGTGGAACCCTCATTGTCAGCCCTTGCTTTCAATATTTCTTTCATTTGTTTGAGATTTTCTCTCACCACGTACAACAAATCGTTGACATCTTTAGGGTCCATGTTAGCAGAAAAATCTTCCTTTTTCATTTCATAGACCTTAATTGTCAACTCCGTGAACCTGTTCTTTTTCCTTAGCTTTTTAAGTTCCTCCATCTTCTTAATTATTAATTGCTTGGTGATTTCTTCTTGTGTCACCATGTTTTTGGGTTGCTCCTGCACATATAACTTTCTAAATTTTTCAAAGGTTTTGATAGCAGCAACATGATTTGGATATATCAGAGGTTTTTTGTGGTAATCACTATAGAAGACGCCAACAATCTCAACACCATGAGAGGCGTTGAGTTCTCGAGCCATTTTGAAAAACTCATTTCGTGCTTTTTGGTATGCAATTTTTCTTTCAGTGCTCATTTCCTTTGTCATGGCTAAAAAGAAGTAGGAGAATATATTTGAGTAGATACCAGGGGTGATCAAATGGCTTTGTTGTTGTTGTTGTTATTGTGTGTTTCTTTGCCTAGGATTGACTTCTATTTATAGGAGAAATTTAGATTTTAATTTTTTTTGAATAAGTTGAAATAGAAAATTCGTAATTGTCATACCTAAATTATTTTGGGACAAAATTAAATTATGATAGATTTGATGCCAAGTTAAGTCTAAAGAGACATGGAAACAAGGGAGATATTTTACGCAACATGGGTGAAGTGTAAATCTTGAAGTACGGGTCGGTTCATATGTCCCATAAATTTTGGAAAAATTGTATGAAATAGCAAACTATTAATTCAAATTAAATGTTATAGCCATAGTTTCTTTTATTTGTAATTCGCAACAAACATTCCATGTTTTTTGCCATCCCATTTGTATACCGAAATATACAAATAGACCCAAATACATATTTTTTATGTATATGTATACCTAAATATACATATTAATAGTCATAGCAAACATAAAAGTTTGATATGGAGCGCAATTATACAAACTATAGCTATAACATACAAATATGTTTTTTATGTTTGCTAAACCTAAAATTTACTCATAAATTTATGGGACTTAAGTTTCATGTATCTTCAAATTTATAAAAAAAAAATTGATAAAATAAGCAAGAGTTGTAACAACAAAAAATGATAATAGACAAGATAATTGTCAAAATGATTTCATTATTGATTTTAGCATTAGCTAGTCCTTCTCGGCTCAACAGATATTTGCAATTTTTTTTTACATATTTTAAAGATAAAAAATAAAAAGTGTAAGAGCAATAAAACTAAAAAAGTGTCCTAAATAGTGACACATTTAGAATTTTAAATAAAGAGGTTCATTATTTTAAAAAAGTGAATTGTAAAAAAAATTGTATTCTTAAAATAAATTGTAACGACCGGGTTCCGTTTTTACAGGAAAGCCAACGGGGAAATTTTTTGAGTCGGAAACTTTTTTGTAGTAACTTGAAATTTTCCAACCTAGTCCAGATTTGGACGAGTCTTTGAGGTGTAGGGAAATCTAGTAACAATCGGGTGACTTATTTATGATTTTGATTACATGGTAGTTAGATAAGTCGTTAAGGGATCTATACGACTTTACGGAATTGAATTCGGGTGAGTAGAACTCCCGAAATCGATCTTAGAGTGAACGATATTTTATGAGCGTCGTTGGTTAAAGGTGTGTTGTGAAATGGGGGTCTTGAAATTATTAAAATTGCTCACTATTTTGTGCAAGTCGCTTTGGCGGTGGTATTGGTCGCTCTGGAGGGGCCGCTGTAGCGGGGTGAGGGCCGCTGTGGCGGGCCAGACGCGACTTAAAGTCATACATAAACCCCAAAATGTCTTTATTCTGCACTTTTCGGTTTTTAGAGCTAAGGAACGAACCCCAGGTGATTCTTGACAGTTTTCCACCATTCTTGAGGCTAAAGGTAAGCTTTTAACTCCCCGAATCCATTTTTCGATCCGGACAACGTAACCTAATGGGTAAATATCGATGGGGGAAGGTTTTGATCTAGAATCTATGGTGGAAACAACCCTAATTTTGATACTTGAGATCATGGGTATGATCTAGGGTTGTTAGAATTGTTAGTAATCCAGGTAATTAGTGATTGTTTATTGATTCCCGTATTATATTGATTGTTTATAGACTAAGACAAGCGGAACGAATTCGAAAAGGGAAGGATCAAGTTTCTTAGGGTTTGAAGCTTGTTTCGAGGTAGGTGATAGTTGTGATTCTATGATTGTGTGATATATATTATTTTCTTGCTTCATTATGATACATGTATGTATGCGAATGTTGAATTATTGATCACACTCGTTGTAAATGAGATAGATGAATAACTGTATGCCATGTATCACTTCTTGATTGTATAATTATTGAGAATATACTTGTGATTGTGATTGTGGTGTGATGATTAGATCGGATACCGCATTTCGATATACTAATTGGGATCGGTTGCCACGTTCTGGCATAAACATTGGATCGGGTACCACGTTCTAGTATGCTAACAGTTTGGGTTTGGGTTCCATGAGAGGAACAATGACTTGTTATAAATGTATATTGTTGAGCATGTGATAATCGATATTGTATATGTTTGGTATTTTGCATGTTTATAATGTAGTATTGACTTGCTTATGTTACACTTAGTAGGATAGCCGCGTGATCCTACCAGTACATTGTGGTTGTGTACTGATACTGCACTTGCTCGTTCTTTGTTGAGTACAGGGCATCTTCAGGCGGCTATTGACAAATCTCGCTTAGAAGATTCGCTTCGAATTCAAAGGTGAGTCAGTTCTTCCAGGCTGCCATGAGTTCTCCTTTCGTCTATGTCCACATTTCGGACTTAGACTTTCTAGTTAGTGGATTTGTTCATTAGTTTGGGGTTGTGACCCTTCTTGTTTAGACTTGTTGAACTTTACATGTTTTAGTACATTGACTTTCAGGTTCTAGAAGTATTTTCCGCAATGTTAGTTGTTAGATCTTTTGTTTGAAGTTTATGGGAACTCAGTTTTAGCTATTATTCATGTTTTCGTATCCTTAAATACTTTAGTTTTTTGTTTAGTTGTTTGGGTTGGGTTGTAGTAGTGGTTCTCCCACCGGAGGGTTAATGTGGGTGCTAATCACGACGGTCTGTGTCGTGACAAAGTTAGTATCAAAGCCTAGGTTCTTTGATCTCGATGTACCAAAACGAGTCTAGTAGAGTCTTGTGGAATGGTACGGGGACGCCTTTACTTTTCTTCGAGAGGCTATAGGACTTTAGGAAATCTCTCTGTTTTCTCTTGTCTCCTTTCATGCTATGACTTGATTCTAATTGGTATCTGACAATTCAAATTGATATCTAACCTCCTTCACTCTTCTGTCCGCAGATGGTTAACACTAGATTCAACAGTGTCAGGCCCGTAGCTCCCGTCAATGCTCCAGCTGAGGAATCTGCAGCGAGAGGCCGTGGTCGAGGCAGGGCTAGAGGAAGAGCTAGGGGTAGAGGCAGTGGAAGAGTAGCGTCTGATAGAGATGGGGTACCGGTCGGAAATGCTCCCCAAAATGAGGCCCCTCATGTGCATCATGAAGAGATAGAAGAAGATATTGAGGTTGAAAATGTTGAAGAGGTTGGAGAAGAGGAAGAGATGCAAGCTGAGACTACCAATGTTCCTCTCATAGACCTAGTGTTAGCTCGACAGATCATGTCATTCTTGAAAGGGTTGGTTGGTCCTGGAGTGCTTCCTTCTGTTCAAGCAACTCAAGCTCCCGCTAATCCCCATGTTGCTAGCACTGCGCCCAAGACGGGTGGAACGAGAGGTAATGATGCTTTCTTCCGTCCTTTGTTGGGTTCTGTTATGACTGGTAATGAGCATGAAATGTTGACTAAGTGTTTGAAGCTAAAGCCTCTTGTGTTTCTTGGTTCTGAGAATGAGGATGCTTATGAGTTTATCTTATATTGCTATGAGAGGCTTTATAAGTTGGGAATTGTCTATCAGCATGGGGTTGAGTTTGTGTCCTTTCAACTTCAAGGTGAGGCTAAGCAGTGGTGGAGAGCTTATATGGAATGTAGATCTTCAACTTTACCTCCACTTACTTGGACCCAATTTCATGCTTTGTTACTAGAGAAGTATTTGCCTAGGACTTTGAGGGATCGCAAGAAGGATGAATTCATGGCTTTGGAGCAAGGTGGTATGTCTGTGGCTGCTTATGAGGCCAAGTTCCATGTTTTGTCTAAGATATGCTACTCAATTGGTGACTATTGAGGAGGAGAGGATCCATCTATTTATTAGGGGACTAAATTCTGAGTTGCAGGTTTTATATGTTCATATGACCGCTGCCTGCAGGGAGGAGCTTTAATGAGGTGATAGACTATGTTAAGAAAGTGGAGGGGGTGAGGCAAGACAGTCAGGCTAAGGAATTGGCAAAAAGGGACAAGAACTCGGGTAACATTCAAGGTTCTTACTCCAGGGGTCCGGAAGACCAACGCATGTAGCCAAGCTAATTCAGTCCGCTATTCCCGCCTCTACAGGTAATTACTCGGGAACTCCACCTCATAATTTGATTCAGGATAGCTAGAGAGTCGCACTTTTGATCGTACATGTTACAACTGTGGTGAACCTTGGCATGTGAGGAGAGATTGTCCCCACCCACGTGTGTTAGATTCTGCACAGCAGCAGTCTAGAGCAGTGGTACCCGCGGGGAATGGTAATAATGGTCGAGGGCCTTCACAAGGTGGGCGAGGAGGTAATCAGCGAGGTCGCGGAGGTAGAGGAAATGGTAATGCAGGCAGAGGTAATGTGCAACGAGGCAGGGAAGTGGTTCGTCAAGATGATAGGGTTCAATGTTATGCCTTTCCGGGCAAGAATGAGGCAGAGGCATTTGACGCAGTGATCACAAGTACTATTCTTGCAGGGGACCGGATGGCTAATGTGTTATTTGATTCGGGTTCTACTTATTCATATGTATCAGTGCTATTTGCCTCAGAATTTGCTATGATTTATGATATACTTGATGCCCTTATTCATGTTTCTACCCCAGTTGGAGAGTCAGTCATAGTCAGCCATGTCTATCGTGTTTGTCCTATTTTGTTTATGAATTTTCAAACTTGGGCTGATTTGGTGATTTTAGATATGACTGATTTTGATATAATCTTAGGCATGACTTGGTT